AAGAGAGAAAAAACTCAGCCCCCTCCCCCCCCAAAGGGTATCTTTCTATTCAGCTATACAGAAATATTACATCCAGACATAAAAATCAGATGGGTTTAAGGAGAGAATGTCTTCTCATGAATATCAGCTCCCAGGCATTACCGAATACTCTGAGATTAGGCAGCTACTAGTCCCTTGGAGAGACCCTTGAGAAGGATAACTAAAATTAAAAAATAGAGCACACTGCTCCCAAAACCCAGAGAAATCTGACTTGGCAAAAGAGATGCAGAAACTGAAACTGTTCAGCCCATAGAAAATTTTCTTGAAGACAGTAAGATGAACAGTGATGACCACAAGTTTGGATGATTAAGAGGAAAGCTGGCAGACCATTTTCTGCATTGAGTAAGTCAATAAAGACAGGCCAAGAAGCAATGGATTAAGAGCAAAAGAAAGAAAACATGCTGTCTTGTAGGGTACTTGCCTCACTTTTTCCCTTCTCACGACCTCACCATTTTTACTGTGACACCTCCAAAATCTTAGGTAAGCTTGGCTGTGCTCCAGCTGTAATTCTAAGAAACAGTGAGGGGGAAACAGGTGTGTAAATTTCTCAGGACCACAGCTTTCATGGATGGCTTTTAAACTTTTATCTTCAATGCTTTTAGTGGGTTACAATAAAAAGTTATGGTCACTGATTTTACAGTTTTCTTCAAAGAACTGTTGGTGGAAAGCCAAAATTCCATAGGTAAATCTGTGTTATATTCAGGGATTTCTGTTTTCACTAAGGCAGATAGTTCTGTTCTGCCACCAACCCTCTTTCATGGTAGTAAATTGTATTCTTTGCATATTCTTCTTGCATATGAAATTCGCTTACTTGAAGCCAGGGAAAACATATTTTTCTAAGTTTCACAGCAAGAAATTACACATTCACCTTTCTTTCTTTGTTTACATATGTTTGATGTATTTGCTCAGGGAACAGATATAGTATAGCAGTCTGTATGGCAAATGACATAGTGTAATGAACAGAAAATAATGAAGTATGCATGAAGAAAAAAAGTTTTGAAAGAGGTTAGGTTTGGTCTAAGCCTCTTTTCACTTACAGCAATGAAATTCCTATCAGCTTAGTGGTGGATCAGGCCCATATAGCAACTGAACCATTTAACACAAATACCTTGGGGGAAAAAAAAATCTTATTTATAGGTAACTGACAAGTGAAGAATAGGCAATTTCACTAAGTTATACTGTAATTTCCATATCATTAATCGCTCCATTTTACCAGTGTCTTAACTTTTAAAAGAAACTTTTGTTTTCTCATTTTAAATGCTTAACATATCTCCTCTGTGATTCCTATCACTGAGCGTTGTTTTGTCTTTCCACAAGCAAAGATGTTTATTCTTTTACCCAGTAACCTTCAGGTCCTATTATCCTGAACCAGACCTGAAAGTTCACGAGAAGAAAATCAGTGAAACATGTATGTGGATCACACAAAGTGTAGCTGAACTACTCCCCTGACCACCATTCAGTGTGAATTCCAGTACTGTGTTACACTAGAACTTTTCTGAATTTATACACAGTTCAAAAAGTTTTCAGGGTGTCTCTTGAGTTACCTAAAAGGGGAAGTTTGTGATTAAGAGCTTTAGAAGTTTACTTATGAGAGAAGAAAGACAGGAGAAGACCCAGAAGCTGTAGACACCCAGCTGACAGGAGCTGTGGACATCTATGCTTGACTGCACTGAAAATTCAGGCACAGCCCAATTGACAACAATAGGAATAATAAGACAGGCTCAAAACATCATGAAAACATGTCCCCCAGTCATCAATGCTGACCACGCCACAGTGAGGTTTAAGAGATGGAAGCTGACGATTATGGCCTGATTTCACCCAAAGGGCAGGAATAACGTTATTACAAATTACAAATTATGTTGAAGCACAGGCTTTTACAAATACACCTACAAAAGTGCTGGCTACAAAAGAGAACACATACTCTATGATTATCTTTCGACCAACCACAAAAAACAGGGACCAGAAATCAATCAGGTTCAGTGGAACTGATGACACCACACAACAGTCTCACCTGATTCCTAACTTCACTCATGCACACATCGGGTGGTGGGCTATAGAGAAAGCAGCAGAAGCTTCAACTGTGATTCAAGGCAGTTAAGAGCTACCTTGACCAAGTTAGTTTGCTGTCTTGTGTATCAGCTTCAGTTCCAAATACTGAGGGCAGGCAGTAGCACTTGCTTAGAAGATAGGGAAGGAAGGGTAGAGAACACAACAAACAGCAACACAACAAAATAAATTCATGAGTTCTGTTCCTTTCAGATATTTTGTGGAAGGTATGATTGTGCTCATAGACAGGGAACTGTACCTGGTGCTTCAGCAAGTCCCTATTTGATCCCATGCTCCTATCTACCAGTAAAGATTATAAGGAAACCTTTTCATCTGGTATAAGGTCATTGCTTGCAAAATTTATTTGGCACCAGAGTTACACCTTTAAGCCAGCAATTAGACATCCGTGGCTAAACTAAAGAGCAAAGGTTGCCTGGCTTAATCCCTGCTCTCCAGCTTTGCAACACAGGGTGGATAAATGACGTAAAAACTGCACAAGCTTATGTTTATTTATAATACTACATGCCCAGCAACTGTAACCTGGAGCACTTCAGAGTGGAAGGATACATTTTTATAATGCCTGTTTCTTCATTAAGATTTCATCATCCACCTACACTAAAAAGCTACTTCCCCTTCACTTTGTTCTATCCGCTTTTATTCGCTCCTGTTCCTGCATTATTTTTTTAATCTCCAGTTCCCTACTTTACATGCACTCTCAAATTTTAAACAAGCAAAATTTGTGCATTAGTGTGTCCTTTTCATCTATGATTTATGAATGACAGGTTCTTTGGTGCAGCTTAATGGTATGAGAGAGACATTATTTTAAACATTAAAGTGAAAACCATTTACAACTATGATAAGAGAGGTCTGTTGACATTAAACTTTAAAACACGCACAAGGTAAAGGCAAGTAGTTGCTCCAACAGGTGAGAATACTATGCATGTGCTTTGTAAGGGAGTTTGTTTAACACATGAGCTGTCTCTTTGCTTTCTCTGTTTCACAACCTGTAGGCTCTGGTGCTTCAAACAATGCACCTGGTAATCAGCAGCCACCAGAGCTGGATAACCAAAAAATATTTAGGGCACAGTGCAGAGGATTCATTTTAAAAAATTACCATTTCATTCGAGAAAAACTTTTCCTATCATTTACATGAGAAAGAAACAACAATACATAAATAAATCTAAAGAGTTAAGGCTCTTGACACTTCCTGCTCACACCTTTATCACTTTTGACCTGCACAATCACCGCCTTTACTATCCTCTTCCTTTAAGTACAGTTCTATTGTAAGATGTTGCCTAACTTGCTATGTTTTGTTCAGCTCTGTACGGCAGCAACTGCATTCTGAGAAGCACCAACATAGTTAGGAATAGTAAATAAATACTATCTGTATTTTATATCATATGTATTTGGATTGAGTACCGTTCCTAACAGCATTAGACACTTTGATTTAACAGCAGAGAAAACTAGAGAAGAGATCTTACAGAACTTCTTTCAGCCTGATTTTAGACCACAGAGAAAATGCAGCAGATTTCTTAGGACAGAACAGTTGCAAATATGGTACAGCTCAGATAATGGGGAGGGTGCATACAGACATTAACTTTTTGCTTGGCAAGACCTCATTGATAAAGCAGACCTCCCACAGCAAGAATGAAAACATGCATCTGGGGCAAGGATGATAGCTGAGGAAAATCTGATTTTATTAAAAAGGTGTGTTTTTTTCAAAACTATTTTCAGGCAATACTGTGTTTTTAGTTGCCTCCATTTAGCTGCTCTAATCAGCAATGTGTGGTGCAGTCAACACACCAGAAGAAAGGGATGCCATCTAGAGGGACCTTAACAGGCTTGAGAGTGGGCTGATCAAAACCTCATGAAGTTCAGCAGAGCAAAGTGCAAGGTCCCACACCTGGGTTGTGGCAACCCCAGGCACACCTACAGGTTGGGCAGAGCAGTGATTGAGAGCAGCCCTGCAGGGAACAGCTTGGGGTGGTGGGCGATGAAAAGCTGAACACACAACAGCAGTGTGTGCTCACAGCCCAGAAATGGAATCCCAATGGAATCCTGGACTGCATCAAAAGGAACGCAGCTGGCAGGTTAAGGGAGGTGATTCTATCCCTCTGCTCTGCTCCTGTGAGACTCTACCTGGAGTACTGCGTGCAGTTCTGATGGCCCCAACATGAGAATGGTACGGAACTGTTGGAGCAAGTCCAGAGGAGGACCACGAAGATGATAAGAGGACTGGAGCACCTCCCTTACAAAGGCAGACTGAGAAAGGTGGGGCTGTTCAGCCTGCAGAAAAGAAGGTTGCCTTCAGGAAAGACAGAGAGGGACTGTTTGTCAGGAACAAAACAGTCATGACAGGACAAGAAGTAATGGATACAAATTGAAAGATTGGATATTAGGAAGATATTTTTTACTGTGAGGGTGGTGAGACAGTGGAACAGTTGACCGAGGAGATCATGGATGCCCCAGTCCTGGCAGTGTTGGAGGCCAGGTTGGATAATGTCATGAGCAGCTTGGTCTAGTGAGAGGTGTCCCTGGCCATGGCACAAGGGTTTGGGACTACAGGATCTTTAAGGCCCATTCCAACCCCTCAGCATTCTGTGATTTTATGATTCCATAATTTCAAATTCTAAAGAGAACATTGATCGCTGACGACAGAAAAAGTCTAATGAATCATTCAAGTGGTTTGCATCACAGACCCATAGAATGCAAGGCCTGACCTTCAATATGTTCTTCTAAAAAGGTAAATATCCATTAAGCATCTCTCAAGCACTCAAAAACAATCCAGGTACTAACTTTCAATATGTCCGGACAGCAACATTTAATTTGGAAAAGAGATCACTCGTTTTAAAGGAGAGATGATGTAAAACAAACAGGTGAAAGAGCCCATTAGAAAAATGACCAGCATGACTTACCTTGTAGATTTTGCAATGGCAAAGTCATGATGCCTCCTGCTGCAGCTGCTGCTACCAGTCCTTGGATGTTGGTGAGATTCGCTGTAGGTAGAGTCAGGACGAGTCCCTGTTGGCCCCCCAGCTGCCCAGCCATGTTGAAAGGAATAAGGATTGGCTGATTAAGGGCTGGAGTGCCTCCTGGCATCACCCCTGCTACTGCTGAGGCCAGCTGTTGGGCTGTCAGTAGCTGCTGTAAGAAACCACAGACACAAAGCTATTGTACTGTGTGTGGCTCAGTACTACACACTTATAACTCTTCTGGCTTGGGGTTCTTTCATGTTCCACTACAGACATGGGCTGCTTCTGATATCCTAAAGCACACATTTTCACCAACACAGGAAGTTTTGACAGTCTGAAACTGTGAGCCTCAATCATGTTGCGTGGTAGCGATCCCCCCTGAATTTAGACTGGAAAATCCGTTACACATTCACAACAGATAATTTACGAATGAAAAAAGGCCTGACTCAAGTCAGCCTACAAGTGCCTAAATGCCAACATTCCCCAAATCTTCCCAGTTGTATGCTTATTGGTAACAACAGAAAACACTATAGTAAAAACTACCAGAAACTTTATGTACCAAGACCTGGAAAGTGGAAGAATATCAAGTATCTTTTTAGAGTATGGCTGGACTTGGATAAAATTGTGAAGTGAGGTGGGAAATATTTAAAAATCTCGTAAAGTGCCTACACTCTGTTCTACAGAAAATAAATACATGGCATAAAAGATAATGAAAGGTCTTTACTAATGCAAGAGCTGGGTGACAGGCAGAACTGTCAGAGCCAAGAGTGTTGTATTAAAATTGTACAAGATTTTTAATATTAAATTATTACGATTATTTCAAAAGTACTGTACATAAGAAATTCAAATAATTTTACCTCCTAAACATGCAAAACTGCTTAGGTTTTATTTTAGAAAAACATACAAAAAAAATTAATCTTGCCAAACATGACTTCTAAAACATGCACAATACACGTGTGCTCCCTTTTTGTAACACTGAGTGCAGCCAAAGAGAATCACATTTTCTACTTTACACAGATCAAAGATGATGACTCATGGTTATTTATTTTTCATAAAATTGTACGTTTCAATTAGTTGAAAGGAGAGATACTGACCTGAGGCCCAACAGGGAATGCAGGATGGGACTGGCTGGGTTGGTGCTGCTCTGCTGGACTTGTGTCAGGCAGCACTGTGTTTCCTCTGGCCTCTGAAATCCAAAGAGCAGAGTGACTTTAATATCAAGCCTGGGGACTGCCACATTACCTCCTACTCTGATGTCACATAACATGAAGCCGAAAATTATATGTTAAAGTGCTTTATCAATAACTCAAGCACTCAAATCACTTATCAGCTGCATAAATTATGCTAACACTCATTCAGACCAGTCAGCTCATTCAAGGAGTTACAGAAATCTGACAGCAGTGAAACTGAAGATATCATCAACCCAGCTAATGTGGGTTGCATTATACATCAATCTACATGGAGTACATGAGCACTCTGCACATGTGGGAACTGCATTTTTTTTATGCTTAGGTGAACAGCAGCCATAGTAATTTCTGAAAGCAAAAATTATCTGAGAAACAATGAAGTCACATCTACTTTCTGTCTTAATAAAGCATTTCCTTTTGTCAGTTACTGAGGCAGCAAAGGCTCCACTATGCAGAATAAAAAGGCACTATGAAAACTGAAAACTGGTATGCTTCCAAATAACAGCTTGGTTTTTAAACTGCATGTGGAGGATAAGCAAAACTCCGTGAAACCAAGGATTTCCACATTTATTGAGATGATCAATATCCAACAATCGAAGTATACACTGGGCACTAATGACTTGCTAAACACAAAACACAGCCCAGCCCGACTGGATTTTGCTGAAGTCTGCAATATCGATTTGAAAGGGAAGAAGATAAATAAAAACATCTTATCAGCTGTAGGAAAGTACCAAGATGTTTTCAAAACTATATCCCAATCCTCCACTTTTCACCGAGTGAAGGGCTTGCACTGATTCACACAGTTTGTCAGCGCTGATGGCACGATCAGGCCCACACTGATCTTTGAAGTTACAAGAATGACAGCAACTATCAAACGTAGCTGCAAGAGGACTGTGGTCTCTTGTAAATAAAACCCTGGCAGTAGCACCAGGTTTGCTGGTTGGTACGATACCTCCTGTTCTGTTTTTTTGGTTTTTTTTTTTTTTTTTTTTTTTTTTTTTTTTTTTTTTT